AATTCCTTGGAGTACAATCAAGGACAATCTGTCTTGGGATATTCACATAGATACTATGTCTAAAAGAATATGCAAAACCCTAGGAGTTATAAGCAAAATTAAAAATAAATTAAATAAACCTACTCTAATTGACCTGTATTATTCATTAATCTTTCCTCACCTCATCTACTGCAACGTAATTTGGGGAAACAGTCCTGACATTCATCTAAAACAGTTAACAAAATGCCAAAACCGATTCATCAGAATATTTAAAAATCTTCATCCTCATTGTCACACAAGTGAATATTATCTCGAGATGAAAATACTCAACATCAAAAACTTGTTCATCTACCACGTTGCAACATTCATTTTTAGATTTCTACGTCAGCAGTTGCCGGCATTTTTTAGAAACTTTTTCACTTTTGGAACTTCCATTCAAGCAAGAACTACACGCCACACGCCACTTTTCTATGCTCCACCAGCCAGAATTAAAGTACTCTGCATGAGTTTGAAACATACCGGCCCAGGAATATGGGAGACGATTCCACAAGAAATTAAAGATTGTAACACTTTGCATCTTTTTAAAAATAAACTGAAAAATTTTTTAATTACGAAAAGTTCTGTTTTTCAAGGATAATAATGTATATGTATATATATGTATATAAGTGTGTACATATTTCATTAACATTGATACATTTTCTCCTATTGACAATTTTATTTTATCATTGAGAAGCAATTTTGAGCTGCACGGTGGCCGAGCCCACAAGAATTAATTTTCTTTTTTTGGTCTCCGAATCATTCATGCTTTTGTTTTGTTTGATTGAATAAAAGTGATTTGATTGATTTGATTTGATTAATCCTAACCTAAACCTATTAATTAATGGCATTCCTATAAACCGCACCCTGTCAACCAAATTCCTTGGAATCACAATCACAGAAAATCTCTCATGGAATTCTTACCTACAATCTAATTTAGAAAAATCAACAAACTCATTGGCATTTTTTACAAATTTAACTATAAACTCTTTCTTTCTGCTCTACACACGCTTTTTATACATTCATTCACCCTCATCTAACCTATTGCATCACGCAATGAGGAAATAGTCTATAAAGCCATCTGAATAATTTAATAATCTCTTAAAAAAGATCAATACGTTTAATTTTTAACCTCAAACCCTATTCTCATACTAAACCTTTCTTACTAGCAAAAAAAATTTTACCACTTAACTTCATTTACCTGCACTGCTCTGCTTTATTCGTTTTTATATTTATCAACGATCTTTTCCCACCTAACTTCATCAACTTCTACACATTAAGCAGCTCTATACAATCTACAACCACTAAACACACACACCCCTCTCTTTTATATCTACAAAACCCGCCTCAAATTAGTCCAGACAAGCATAAAAATAGCTGGTCCTAAAATTTGGACAGAACTTGTACCTCCCTATTCAAGAGACATCATAAACCTACAACATTTTAAATCAAAATTCTGTGCTTTTTTTTATTGACACTGGATCTCGACTCTACCACCTAATACTATAATATGAATACGTGAGAACAAATGAAGCGGATAAATGGTTTTTATGAATGGTTAAACATTTATATTTTTATATATGTACTGAACGAACATTTATATATTTATATGTTTATATATGTATAACACGAACATTTGTTTGATTATCTTCAATTATCTTTTTGCCTCAGTTATTTTCCTTATTTCATTTCATTCACTATTCAAATATCTAACACCACAAGACATACAGTCTTATTCGGTCTCCACATATTCAACCATTAAACCACAATTTTTACAATATTCTATAAATTCTACCGAATGTTAATATGTTTGTAGTTTGTTTTTTTGAAAAGTTTTTAATCTTACGTTAATACCTGATGATATGTACAGTTTCATTCAGAAGTATAATAATTTTAAGTGGTTATGTGATACGTGTAACAATGTTTCTCCAGACACCAAGTTATCAACAGTAATAGACACGGATCTGCTTGCGAAGGCAGTTGACAGAAGTACACAGAAATGATGATTAAATCTGATAGATTGACTGATGTCAATAAAATCATAGAATCGGATCTCAGGAATATCAGGTGTGCAGTAAAATTGAATGATGAAAATTTAAGCAACATTAATCATGCTGTTGATGAGATGCGAAGCAAAGGTTTATCTTAGTGGAATCTATTCTGATCATGGTTTGGTACAGATTAGTTTATCAATAAAATTGACAAAGTTTCTGAAAGCAAAAAGATTGATCCGACTCTTGAATCGTTTTGATGAGAAAGCTTTCGCGATGCAAGTACTTGAGTCTCCAGTGCCCAGACCGTGTAAAACTAATGATGTAAATGCAGAATTTAGTTTATTCAGTGACGAGGTAAGGAGAATTGTTGATAGGGTTGTTCCTCTTGTACTGGTGCTGCCTGGGCGCCATCCTATTGCACCGTGGTTTGATGATGATTGCAAGGCTTCAAAACGAAAATCTAGAAAATAAAGAATTTTTAGAAAAGGGTCGTAATTTGTCTGATAAAAATGAATGGATATTAGCCCTTAAAGAGAAAGCTGAAATTTATTCAAACAAAGGTAAAGTATATTGGAAGAAAGTTGTCAATGAAAACAGTAAAACTCCAAAAAGCTTGTTAAGGGTAGCTAATAAAATTTTTCTAAACAGTCACTGTAAAGGCACTAAACGCAAATTCAATGATCTCAACGCTGGCCAGTAATAAAAGTAATAAATTAAAGTAATAAAGCAGGGGATTGACACTGAAAATCAGTCTTGTCTAAACAGTGATGATCATGGATGTCAGCAGTTGTTTTCGATTTTTCTGGCGGTGTCTGAGGCTGATGTCACCTACAAAGTCCTGTCAACTAGATATTTTACCAACGCGTTTCTTTAAAAAACATGAAACAAATGAAAAATGAAACAAATTTGGGAATCACTTTATAAAGACGCAATGCAGACTCTGGCGCATGCGTTGGTGCACTCACCTGTCGATTGTTGCAATAGTTTATTTTACGGACTCCCGGCTAGATCCATCAAAATTCTGCAATCGATACAAAACCGTACTGCCTTGATTGTGGCTGAATGTCGATTGTATGATCATGCCACACCGATCCTGAGTGATTTGCATTGGTTGCCCATCAATAAAAGAATTGTTTTTAAAATCTCTGTCACAGTTTTTAAATCACTAAATGGTCTGGCTCCAAAATATTTATCAGATAAACTGAAATTAAAAACGTCGACCGCATCTGGTGTGCGTCTGAGGTTTGACGATTCGAACATTCTTGTGGTTCCTCATAGACAGCTAAAGATTGGATCGCGTGATTTTGCTGTGTTGGGCCCTGTCGTATGGAACGGCTTGCCTTCAGCCCTCAGAAAGCTTGAAATGAACATTGCTGAACATTGACAATTAATGACATACCTTTTTTATTATAGTTCATTTCTTTTCATTCTTGCTATTTTGGATTAATATTAGTTATAATTTGATAGCTTTTGTGAAAACTGCTATAACGAACGCTATATTAAGTTTTCTCTTAATAATAATAATAATAACAATACTAATATATCATATATATATATATATATATATATATATCTGATTTATATATATATATATATATTAGACTGTTTCAAAAAAAAATTTTTTTTAAAAACAATGCATAGGGGCTTATATGGTGTGGTTTTATATTTGTATCATCCGGTAAAAATTTCAATTAAAAAGGATAAGTATTAGTGACCTCTCAAATCACATTTTGTTTTTTTATGAAGCCTGAATGATTTTTTTTTGGTGTTTGGGGTTTTTAAAATATTTTTACATGTTTTTATAAAACATTACAGAAGTTTATTGTTTGGAGAAGACAAAGAATTTGCCAAACAAGAAGAGAAAAAATTAAAAAGGAAACTAAGCAAAAATCAAAAACAAGAAAGACCTAATAAAAAGAGAAACATAGCCAATTATGAAGATGATGATGATGATAATTCAACATCAACAGATAACATAAGCGATAAGTCTGATGAGGAAGTAGGGTGTCAGCAAATACCATCAGAATCAAATTGTAGGAAGTACTCCGATATCTCCTAAAACTAATGAACTTAAAAAAGGTGTCAAGTAGATGATCCACTGTTCATGGCAAGTCTAGATCGTACAAAAACAACTTATTGGAAAACCATGCACATAGTTGCTTTAGCATTAAAGGCAGTTGGAATCAACGTTGATGAACTCACTTTGTCAACAAGCTCTCTTTACGGATCTAGAAAAGCTATACGACAATCTATCGGAAACAAAAACACATTTTTGCCAAACACATCTCTTGTGGTTCACTTTGATGGAAAACTTTTACCTAATTTTGATGGTGTAAACATAGATTGCCTGCCAATTGTGGTATCAGGGAAAAATGTAAAAAAACTGATAGCTATACCAAAGGTTGGCGGTACTGGCATAAACATAGGAACCACAATAGTTCAGTTACTTCAGAATTGGGAAGGCGTGTCAAATTGGTTGGCTGGTTTGTGTTTTGACACAAGTTCTAATACTGGCATTCATACTGGTGCTATAACAATAATTCAGAAATCCTTTAATAAACATTTCTTGTTTTTAGCATGCAGGCATCATATTTTTAAAATTATTGGAACAGCTTTATTTGATTTATTTTTCACTTTGTCTGGCCCTCAAATTGCTATTTTTAATAGATTTAAAGATCAATGGCCATCAATTAATCAGTTAAAATATGCATCGATTGAAAAGGTAACAACTGATTGTTCTTTGACTAATGATGAAAATTTGTGGCTAAAGCAAAATCGTGTAGCTATGATTGATTTTCTTCAAGACCAACTGCAAAATACTCAACCTCGACATGGCTACTTGCAATTGATTAGGCTTTCTCTCATAACTCTTGGAGTTTCAGATCCTACTGCTGTACAAGTCACTCCTCCAGGAGCTTATCACAGGGCTCGCTGGATGGCCAAAGGAATTTATTGTTTGAAGATTTTTTGCTTTCGTGATCAACTGAAGTTAACTGCACGTGAGCTACAAGCATTAAAGAGACTTTGTCTCTTTACTGTAACTGTATATGTAAAGGCATGGTTTTGTGCAGCAGACAGCTGTAGTGCTCCTTACAATGATTTATGTCTTCTTCAAACTCAGGAATTATTTGAAAAAGTTGATTGCAAAGTTGGAAAAGAAGCAATGGAAAAAATTAAAAGGAATCTTTGGTATCTAAGCGAAGATCTTGTTGGAATGACATTTGTTTCTAATTTGGTTAATGTCGATGAGAAAAGGCTTATGGTTAAAGCATTACATAAACCAGCTAAAAAAATGATGTTAGAAAAGTAGATCCAAAACACATAAGTTTTTTCAAATCCAAGATTTTGTCAGATTTTGTGACAAAACAGTCTTTAAATTTATTTTCTACATTGAAACTCAGTCAAAATTTTTTTTGCTTTGATCCAGAAGTATGGCCACAACTAGAGGATTGCAATAATGCAAAAGAGATAGTGACTGCAGTACGGGTAGTTAATGATTGTGCTGAGCGAGCAGTTAAATTGGCATCTGATTTTAATACAGCACTTACTCATGATGAAAATCAGCGCCAGTTGATGTATCAGGTGATTGAGCATCACAGGAAATTAATGAATGAACCTTAGAAAAAGAACTCTACTGATTCAGACATTACTTTATAATAAAACAATATATAAATACTCATAATAAATTAAAAACAATTTTTTTTTATTAATTTAAAAAAAATGCTTTAAAAAACTGAATTTTCTGAACAATCTCATCAATGAGAGGTCACTTAACATTGTTTGATTTTATTGATTTTTGGTGTTTGTCTTTATATCATCAAATGACACAAAATAAACTCATATGCAAATCTGGTTTGAAAAAAAATTAAATTTTTTTTCTTTATAAAAATAAAACGGTATAATATATATATATATATATATATATATATATATATATATATATATATATAAACGTTCACCAAAAAGCTTTAGTGAGAAAAATTGAAAAAACGAACTACAAAAAACATATACGCTGTATATATATATATATATATATATATATATATATATATATATATATATATATATATATATATATATGCCCTTTATCGTCATTGCTTCAGCCATTTTTCAGATGTATGTACATTACAAGTAGTTAAGTCAATGTTTTTCAACAAAACTTTATTTTATCTTTTTTCGTTATCTTGCTTTAATTTTTTTTTTAAATTTTGTAGATAAATAGTTAACTAATTTTTCGAAAAACCACATAAATAATTTGTTAAAATTATTTTATTTCGTTCTATTAAAAGATTTGGCGACTCAGTAACTGAAGTGCCAAAAGCCATTGCGAGCAACAACTTTCCACTCTGTGACTTAATTTTCGTTGACGGAGGACATACGTATTCTGTGGCAAGGTTTAAAATTGAAAAATTTTTTTTATAAGTTTGTATGAAACTTAAGCAAAATTTTATTTTTCGTTTTTCAAATTTCCACGAAGTTGTTTTGGTGTTGCAATAATTTTTATTTAAAATAATAATATACGTTTCATACTATTGTTAAAATTGTTTGCAGAGAAGATATATTGAACTTCGCTCGCCATTCCAGTCCCGACGCCATCATCATATTTGACGACTACCCGACGGACTGGGGCCAACCATTCGGTGAGGCGTGGGAAGAAATGCTGATATGTGAAAATGAATCTGGCAAGGTTATTGACTGACGCAGTTCTATCAAAAACATTTTGAGATTGTAGTTGAAGCAACAATTGTTAAGGTCAGTTGGGTACGTCGTTGCCTTTTCAAAATCTGTTATACAGGCCGCTAGCAGTGGCGTAGCGAAGAAATTTGTTGTCTTGGGGCTAAAAGCTTTTCAAAAGTTCGATGATGTTCGTTTTCTTACCCATCCGCCTTCTGCCACAATACACCAACTCATTTTACAAACTTGTTAATATTTACTCAGTTAAGAAAATTAAAAAAAATTACCCTATCAAATATTTTTCGGCTGCAATTTAAAGCCCATTCCAGAATTCTAGTAGCTTATTTTTATGAAAAATTTTAAGTGATTTTTATTAATATGTATTAACATAAAATCATAAAATGAAAGGAAAAAGTAAAAAACTATCGACAAAGAGTCTCTACCAACGTTACCCTTGTGATATATAGATATAACTTTCCCGTCATTTGAATTAATAGTTCTTCTTGGTGATGGTGTTTCTTGAATTACACCGGTAATTATTTCATGCAGACCATCAAAATTTATTACAATTATTAGAATTTAACCAAACTTTTGTGATTTGAAAACTTTGAGCATATTGAACTATTAGTAAACATATTAGTCAACGAGTTTGCTCAGTCGGTAGAGGTGCTCTATCACGCGCTGCTATCAACGCGATGATTTGGTTCGAATCCTGTCTGTCCGAAAAAGACCATCATACCCGTATGATGCGGTGCTTGCACGTGTGTACATAATGTGTGTGCACGCTGTATAGTGTTAATAGTACAGCCTTTGTAGCACGAACGTTTAACATGAAAAGCATTTAATAACAAAATATCTTTTAAAACTGTGATCAGGAAGTCTAGAATAACATAAATGTGTCTCTAAGTCGTTGTGACAATCAATTTATGTTGGAAAATGTTTTTATGATTTTTTTGTTCAAATCAAGCGGCTCAATCAAAAAAGTAATAGGCATAAATTTTGTATTTGAGATGGAATGCATTTTTGTTACACGCCACCGCATAAATATTCTATTTGGCTGTAACCTACCTAACAAGTGTCTTTTATTTTTTAGTAAATAAATTTTGCTCTTGATTATTTATTTAACTGTAATTTTTTAATAAGCAACATCGTAACAAACCATTTCAGATTCCAAAAACATCAAAAAACTCCAACGGCAGAGTGACAGGCGAAAAAAAGAAATACGTGAAAATTGTGGAGCTATTGAGGTGTGCACACAAGGACTTGCACAGGGGATTTGTGATTGGCAGAATGGTTTTGCACTGATCGACTGAATTGTTTTAACTCGGTGGTTGCCAAACGAAATTTATTATCAATCGATGTTTTCATGAATATTTCCGTTTTTATATTATTAATATTTATTGCAAATTAATTTTTTATATCTGCGAGTTTAAGTTAATTTATAACTTATAAAAAAACCAATCTTGCCGATTTGCCATCCAAATATCAATTAGTTTATTTTATTTTTTAATTTTATTTTAAATATTTTAATCAGTTAGCTAGAATTTGCCAGGATTTGCGGTCGTATGTATTTCAACCAATTTGTTGTGTTCTAAGTTGATGTTGATTCTAAGAGTATTTTTATTGTTTTATTCACTACATTATTGAATAAAATATTGATAACTAAAAAAACTAAAAATGTTTTTGTTGTTACAAAAAAATATTAAAAAAAATATAAAAAGTATGTACTTTTTTATTTTGTAAACAATTGTTGAAAATCTACATAATAAAATGTCATACTCGGAAAGCCTACATCTAGTAAACTCCCATATTGTATAATATTTATAACTTTTTTTAACTTGAATAGCAGCATTTTCAGATGCTCCAATTAGAAACGATAAAACATTGTTTAGTGTGCATGAAACAGTCTTGTCAACATCAACTGTTCAAATATCATCTGTAACTACAAAATTAATGAAAATAAGAAGAGGCTTGAAATGATTCAGTGAAGTATGATCCGGCCAGCAACACGAGTCCTCGGTCGTCGGTCACTGAACATCTTAAAACTTCCACTATGCTGACATTTTTGGAGAATTTTTGTTAAAAGAGGATGAACTTGCCAGATTTTTAAGAATCTTCGGTAAAAAAAATTGTTTCAAATGTGTCAAATGTAAGCCATTAAAATTTGTTTGCTAATAAAAAACTTGAATGAAAAATGTATGGAAAGTCATACCTCATCAGTTTTCTTTTCAGAAATCAACATTACATCCAAGGTCTTTCCAAAAAAGACATTCAGCTGGTCGGGTCGTCATCAAACCGGATGAGGTTTTGGGGAGCTGAGTGGCGTGCAAAGTTCAACATGTCCTCTCTTCATCGTTTCAATTATTTTTCATATTATTTATAATTACAAGCATTATTTATAATAATATTTTATATCCAAGTGAATCGGTTTTTTTTTATCTAACTGCGAAGAAAGACTTGTATATATGTTTTGTCGAATACTCCTAAGTTTTTGATAGCCTAAAACACGTGGAGCTTATGGAAACATTAAAAAATTTTGACATTAATCGAAAAGACACGAGAGTTATCAAAAACCTCTATCGGGACCAAAGATAAATGTTGGTATCAAAATTATTAGTTTTGTCGAAATTAAGAAAAGTGTTAGGCAAATATTTCCAGACTTGAACAACCTCTAGAGTAAGATCTTCATGAAAAAGATAGAAGATCAACCTGGTATATCCATTGGAGGCGTGAATATTAACAATGTAAAATATGCTGATGATACAGCTTTTATAGTGGAATCAATGAAAAAACTGTAAATAAAATAACTGTTTCCAAACTGGTTTTTAAAGTGAAAAAAAGCTTGCAAATTAACATTCAACAAAACAGAGTTCATGATTATTAGTAAAAACAAAACCGATCCGATCTGCTCCATAGTCATTAATGGTAAACAGGTGAAACAGATTAACAGCTTCAATTATCTCGAAAGTCTGATTACCTCAGGCTGTAAATGTGATTTGGATATCAAACGAAGGATAGCTATGACAAAAGATACATATTCTAAAATGAAAAACATCTTCACAACAGTAAAATCAGAATATTAACAAAATTAAAAGTTTTACATTTTTCATTTACATGGCTCATTTACGGCTGTGAGACCTGGACAGTTTTAAAAAAATGGAAAAAAGGATTAATGCTGCTGAGATGTGGTTTTCGAGAAAAATTGTGGCAATTAGTTGGACCTCTCATACTTCCAATGGAGATGCATTAAAACAGTTTGGAGCAGTTACCCAAACCGCAATATAGCATAATTTATCGGCAATTTCTTGATGGCAAGGCCAAACGTTTGCAAGTAAAGAAAACTTCCACGAAGGGTCAAGGGTTTGCTGTTGTACCATGCTGGTTATTATTCATACAAAAATTTAAGTACTGTTGGACTTAATTACGATACCATTAAAATCTTTGAAACTTTTGAACAACGCTGAAACAATACATCGTTCATAAAATTTATTTGTTCATGAAAGTTGTTGCATCATTTTGTTTGAAAAACTTTATGGAACACACAAGATGTCACTAGCATTGCATATATAGGTGAATTATATAGTTACCATGGTGAATATCTTTAAAACTAAAAGTAAGTTGTAAAACGTGAATTTGCGTTGTGCAAGTTGTTAAGATTACTTCATTAAATATGTACAATTTTTACAGAAATGTTTAAAAAAAATTACACCACCAAATAAAATCGCTATGAGATTATCAAATCTTTTAAAATAAAATGTTACAGCACTTAAATTTAAAATATATTATATAAAAAAACTTAATTAAAAATTATTTTTGTTAGGATATGTGGCACATTACATTTTTTACGCCCATTTTGCTTCTGGCTCGTTTTTCTTTTCTTTTTCTTTTTTTAGCTGTTCTTATATTTTATAGTAATTCATTTTATTTGCCTTAATTCCAATTGCCTTCTGCTTCAAACTTTTTTTTATGTTATGTTACTATTTAATTTATTTGTTCATTTTACCTCACATTTTGAATTCTAAACTTTCTCTATTCATAATTTTATTTTCAACGTTTCATCAAACCTGGCATGTTGCTGCCTCCTCTGCGTTTGACAGACATTGACAGAGACAGAGATTGATGATTTACAGAAAAAAGTAAAATGTTAGCGAATGTGTGAGAGAGCAAGTTGAAAAGAATTTGGAAAAAATGAAACACTACAAACTCATTCAATTTGAAATAAAACAACATCCATGAAAGTTAAAATATAAATTAAATGTTGATCGTTATTATTCATATTATTATCATTATTTTCCGTTAAAATATTCCTCAGGGCATAGAGATAATAATAATATTATTATTAATACAATACACATATATAATAATACAATACAATTATATTAATCACACAAACACACAAAGGAATATTGCACTTAACTGCTATACCCTCAAAAATCAGGCCTTGTTCATGTTAAAATCAGACCGTTAAAAAATAAAATAAAGAGATCTAAACCATTTTTAACTTATTGAAAGTCTCAAGCACTCGCGCTCTTTTCATTTCCTCTTCGATGATATAGAACCAACGAATGTTTGGAGCTTGCAGCAGGGAAGGCCGAGGTGCGATACAAAACTTTGGCGCCGCAAACTTTAACGTTTTATGTTGAGTGGATGTGTAGAATGTGGTCGGCGGATGAACGGATGTAGGCGTTAGTGGGAGGGGTGTTTTAAACAACGAAAATGTTGACGGAGCTTGCTGCTGCAATTGAATTGCCAATTTAGCTGATGGTGTTAAATACAGGCGTTGATCCGGCCAATAAGATGAAAAACAATTTTTTGACCGTTTTGACCAGAATGATGTTGAATGATTTTTGGAGTTGCGCTGCCGAAATGACGAAGAGGATTTTGCTGGTGACAACAATGACCATCTTGTGGGAATCTCACTTCTTGTTTGATGTGATGATGGTAGGTCTGCTGGTTGATGTGATGATGGTGGGTTTCTTGGTTGGTGTGATGACGGTATTGTTGATTTTTTGTTGAAAATTTTTGAATGGTTTGTTGAGTGTTTCGGAGAAGATAACAAGGACCACCTAGGTGGAAGTTTGCCTGTTGATTGTTGTGTTGTTGTTGATGTTTTTGCTGATTGTTGCCACAATGAGGGTGTTGATGTTTTTGCTGACTGCTCCCACAACGGTGTATTTGTTGTTTGGCGGAACGATGACTGGTTCGACCTGTGTAGCCACATTGAATCATTTTTATTTGAAGATTGATGCGAGCGCTTCATAGAAGATTTGTTTGTTGAGCAGTTCGACCAGAAGGAAGTTGGTTGTTGGCGAGACGAATTCGGATCCATTGCTAAATTTGACCATCGACTTGAGAATGATGGCCTTGCTGAAGGAGGATTTGATGATCCTAAGTCATTAGTCAAATCTTGAAAGGAAGTTTGGTCCATTGATGAATGTTAAGTTTACTTAAAAATAAAATAAACTGAAAATTATCACAATAATTAAAATAATTTTTTGAAAAAAAAAATGAAAATTTAAAGTTGGTTTAAGTAGGTTTATTGAAGTTATCTTTTATTTATATAAAAAATTAAAATACTCATTTGAATAGGAAGCGAATTGGAACGCGAAAATATTGTAGTTTGATTTCTTGGGGAACAAGACATGTCCTTAATTCACTGATATTAATTTCTTTTTTATTTGAAATTTTTAAACTGTTGTTAATTAACCTATTTTAATTTTTATTGAGATTTTCAAGTTTGTAAGAAATGCGCTGCCACCAATCTTAATTATCATTTCTTTGTTTGGTATGGTAATTCATGAACCTTGAATTTTAATCATGAGAAATTTAAATAAAAAATTTATTTAACTGTAGACATTTTGAAAATTATATTAAAATTATAATAAATTTATTTTGGAAAATAGATTATTAAATTGTGGCAATTTAATGTACAAGGTGGTAGTTTTAACATTGAATGACAGATTTTTTTTTTATAAATATTGCTTTTTCTTTTGGGACCGTTTTCAAAGGTTTCTAACGATAAAAACGTTCAATAATGCTAAAAACAGAAACTTTTGTTTTAATTATTATCATCAAATGCCTTACGTGGTCTACAAAAATAAACTTCTTGTCATACATCGGGCTCCAAAAACAGCTGCCGTGATGAGGTTGTTGTTGGTTTTGAAATGAACCAATTCGGATTAACTTGTAAGTAACTTAAAAAATAAATAGGGCATCTCATTTATCTACATTTTATTTTAATGTTGTGAAACTTCAAAATATTCACAGGGTGTCTTTTGGTTAGCCAGAAATTTTTTGTTGGAAAAAAATTTTTTTATTAAGTTGTTTGTTTTTTAAAAGTTATACAAATTTGCTTTTCTCTGGATTAAATAAAAATCTTTTGAATTTTAAAATGCTGAAGCTGATAATTTATTTTTGCTAATTCTAGTTCGTCCGGATTATTTTCAAAATGTTCATGTTGCGATCTTTTTGGAGCAAATTTTTTAAAATAAGCAGTAATTGCGTTGTCTGGTGCATGCGCGGGATGGGACGTCGAGTGATGGCGAGTCAGGTATGGCTGACAGGATGCAAGTTTCTGCGCGGGATGGGACGTCGAGTGATGGCGAGTCAGGTATGGCTGACAGGATGCAAGTTTCTACTTTGGATAAAGTTGATCTACAATTGAAAAGGTTATATATTACTTATTGTTAATGCTGTAAAATGCATGAACTGAGCTGGTGCGTCGGGGTGCCTGGACTTCGATTTTTCCGACCGGTGGTAGAGGTTTTGAGTTATATAAACAAAATTTATAACAAAATTTACCAATAGAATAAAAATAAAAAACATTTACTGAAATGAATTATTAAATAATCACATCATAGCACCATTTTGGAAGCTAAAATGCCGTTAAAGATACCAAAAAAAATATTCGCGATTAATTTTTTCGTTGTCATAAAAATTGAATTTGGTTACGTTAGTTTGAAAATGGATGAAAAAATAAAAATCTGATTCTGTGTGAGAAGACTTATTAGTTATGGATTTAGCTAGATATCTAAGGAAGAGATGCGTTACATTAGAAAAGACGAAATGAAACTTGGTAGGTACCACAAAAATCAGGACTTTTCGTTTCAGCGTAGTATAGATATAATACCTGAAACAAGTTATCCACTTCGTTTCTTAATTAAAACAGCGTAACCACGAGTTACACCAAGAAGTTTTAAATTATCTATAAACCTCTTGCAAAACATTCTGATTCAAGTTCTTTCACGCAATGTAGCTGAGAATCCATCAATATAAAATTGTAGAAAAATAGAACCGGTTAAATTATTGAAAACACTTTGATAAAAATGACATAACAAAAGGCAAATGGCATTGCAGGTTATCATTCTTCCAAACTATCTGACTCGTCATTAGGAAACATCCTTTTTATCAGTTTTCAATAATCTTCATTTTATTTTCAAATCATAATCACAGCTCATTTTTTAATTAATATAATCATTTTCATAGTCATCACTATATCCATCATTAAATTTTTAAATTATCTAACTTTATTTTTATATAAAAACTATATAATATACAAGTAAGAAAATATTGTTTGACGCATGTATATAGTCGCCTGTTTATATAGTTGTGTTTAAATAGATCATATAGATCAGCCCAGCATCAAAGTTTAAAACCATCACCAACAACATCGTAAGAAAATGTCAATTAATTATGATGTCAACAACAACAACAACCTCATCATCATCATCCTCACATGACTGCAATCATGACCGTCACAAACCCGTTTAATGTTTGACCTTTGACCCTGCCATTAAGCGTGAACTCTGCAACCTGCACCAATCACACTTATACATAAGATTAGGAAAACAAAATTAAATAACTTATATACAGTATAATAAATTAACAGTAATATAATTATTAAGCTAGTTAATTTGAATAATTCAAATGTTCGAAACCAATTTAATTATTTTAATATGATATTTTTGTTATGCTGGAAAAACCAAACGATCTGTTTGCATATCATTCTAGGCACTTTTTGTGTACGTACGCTCATCATATCACGCACAATTATCATGCAAAATGTAGAAACAATGTTGAAAATTTATTTAATTTTTTGGACTGAGAGTTTTCAAACTAGATCTTAGATAACAACACGAGACATGGCCCTTCTACCAACTAAGTTAACTCGGTTTTTAATTATCGAATTGACTTATTTACATTAAGTTATTCACAATACTAATTTTATGTTTTAAAGCCACCGAATATTGGTAATAATTAAATTTTTAAAAATTTTCTGAATTTATTAGTATGAATTAAGTAATAAATTCAAAATTGTGCTGATTGAACTTATGAAACTTAAGAATCTAATAAATCATCAGAGTGAAGCAGCAGACAGCTTTATACTGCAAATGCAAAGTGTGAAAACAATGTTGAAAGGTTATTTAATTTTTCGAACCAAATCTCAAATAACAAGGTTCAAACAATAATACTTTTTATACTTTATTTAGACTACAAGCTGAGTTGTTGAAGAAAGTTTTGCGTTGTATCATTAGAAATTCTTGTATTGCAATCATTATATTGTATTACAAAATAGTGTGAAGTAAACTGATTTACTAAAGAAAATTTTGAAGTATGTGAAATAACATTGTGATATGGCACTAACGCAGTCACTCCACATTTTGGTGGTATCTGTTTTTATCGCCATAATAGCACCAGGAATTCTTTTTCAACCTCACCGGCTCTGGGTAGAAGATAACTTCAATTATGAAACACGATTCAATATTTTCTTTGAAAGATACGCTGACTCTTTTGACAAAATTCCAAAGGAGCTGAAAGAAGAATGTTTAAAAAATATAGAAGCCCATCTTTTTGACGGCTACACAAAGCCAAGTTTCATTGAGGATGTGGACTATGCAGCATCCGTAGTAATCTCTGCTGACCACCTGACTCCGAAAGAGAAGCAAGCAGTCATCGACATGTTGAGAGAAAGGATATGAATTCAAATTTTTTTAAATTTTCTCTAGTGGTTAAATTAAAACATTTAAAAATTATTATAAATGATTTGAATTCAAACTTTGTAATAGTAAAAACTGATTTTTGTACTAAAAGAAAATATTTGTAAAAAATTAGTTCGTCTTAAAAATTATTAATTGTTTTGTTTGTTACAACCGTACTATGTTGGTTTTGTTGACAATGTGTATTTAATATTTAAACAACCAGTTTATTGTTAATTAGTAATTTTTTATTTTAATTCCTTCTAAATGATTTTTAAATCAAATGTTTGAAACTTGTAAAAAAATTTCTTACCAAGATAAACATTATTATTGCGAAGAAACTATTAATTTTATTAGCAATGATTCACTTCAAATGAACAGCTGCAGATTTATAACGAATATTTTAGTTGCTCAATTTAAATTATAAATTCGAAAGAATTGTTTCAATTAGGCATTTGGTGCACTAATCTAAAAACGCGAGAGACAGCACAAATTTAGCAATTTTTTCTATTTGGGCTTTGATAAATTTTGCTATCTCCAAGTGAAAAAATCTGTAATATTTATTGAATTGTTTTTTTACTGTTTTTGGTAAATTTATTTGTGTTTTTGTTATTAAAATTGTTGTGTGGGTTGCCGTTTTTTGCTATTTTTGACTTTATTATTCTTTGTACGTCAAATCTTTTAAAGTTATTATTGCATTGTAGTTGGGTTATTCTTTGTAATTCGTTGTCGCGACTGGCGTATTTGAGGAATGGATACATGCTCGATTGAGAAATGCATTTATCATGCTGTTCTTGTTTTTACTAAATCCGTTGAAGCAGGGTCCTTTATGTGCTGATTTAATATCACAAGATTTTAGAAAGATGCTGTTCGAATTGATTTGTGTCAGTATGTCAAAAAATTGTAGTGTGTTGATGTTGGCATGTTCTATTGTAAATCGTGTTTTGCCTGAAACCTACTAATCGGTGTATGTCATTAAAATGTCATCAACGTAGAGAGAGTAAATGTTAAAATTAAAATTCAATTGTAATGAATTAACTAAAAATATTTTAATGTCATCAAAGCTATTATTAATAATGTAATTATTGTTATTATTACTATTATCATTATTTGATTTTTATATTGTGTTTTACTCAAGATAATTTTTTGTGAAAGAGTTTGATAAACAAGCTGGAATGATGAGAATGGAAAAAATTAATTAATGCCGGGCACCCATGCAAAAAAACGTATATATGTTTATTTCTCTGTTTCCTTCCTTAGTTTATTTTGTTACTTTTTGTTTGTTGACAAATTTCAGCCTGTGTAATTATACGCTTCTATTGATTTAACGGTTTTTTTTTAAAAAAAGTCTATTTTATTGAGATTTCAAATAAGTTAATCAGACGCTGCTTTTTGGATGTATTGCAGTTGCGTGTGTAAGTTATCACAGGAAAATATACTAACACACACACACAAAACTAAGTTATAAAATGAAAAAAACTTCAGACACCAAATTATCTTTTTTACAGACGTAAGCACAAAATTGAAAATTTTTGTGTATACAAAAAATAGCAATAAAGAGTTTTGGAGAGTAATGGAAGATGTGAGTGTTGGGAAGCAAATTTGAAACGTGAGAAAAATAACAACATACCAGTTAACAAAAAATAAAAAATGAATAACCCTAACCCCCGCAACAAAAACAAATGGAGAGTGAGTCTGAAATTAACTCATTAGAGGCGCAGCACAAGTTTTGTGGTACGATACACGGTATACGGAAAATATTATCAAAAGAAGAAAATTGATTAAAATACAACTAACAAGATAAATGTTATGTTAAGAAAATATGGCGCGCAGCACCTAAGAAGTTATCAGAACTGGCAGATCAACCAATTGTAGATTTTTGCCCGGCGACATTCGAATTCCGCACCGCGCGGTCCCGAACCACGTCCGCATACAAATATCAACCCGAGCCTACGCTTCGGCGGAGTCTTTCCTGGCCGGGATCCGCCACTCTACAATAGACCCTCTCAGGATCTGAAAACACTGGCCGGGCGGAAGTTTGTTTGCGCCCTGCTTGTTGACTAAAGACGCCAACCTCGTCAACTATCAGCAAGTCTTCTTCAACATACATTATTTTAGGTAAAATAATTAAGCCGAGCCGAATTTCAAGTGTACACTTCTTTTATTCAATAAAAACAAAATAGTACAAATTAAACCTCTGTCATTATTAACAAGCGATATATCCAAAATTAACAATCTATTAATACTATAACTATCAGGCAAACTATCAAGCGATACTATAATCAACAGCTAAAAATAAAAGCGAAACCAAGCTAAAAACAAAACCTAAAATAAACAACAACGACCGACCGACCCTCTATATCTCAACTCGCGGCTTTTTATATGTTTTTAACGCCCTATCTACATAACGCTTTCTAAATCATAGAAAATTCTATACTCCCTTCTATACTTTTTTCTATAATCAGAACAGCACATAGCAGCGTCGCATATATAGCATATCAAAAAACAAGATATGCATACATAGAATGTCTATTAAAATATATAGATAAATACAGGTTAATTGATTGGTTGGCTAGCAGGCTGGTTAGTTGATTGATTGATTGATTGATTGATTGATTGATTGATTGATTGATTGATTGATTGATTGATTGCTTGCTTGATTGGTTGGTTGGTTGATTGATTGATTGATTGATTGGTTGATTGATTGATTGATTGACTGATGGATTGATTGATTGATTGATTGATTGATTGATTGATTGATTGATTGGTTGATTGATTGATTGATTGATTGATTGATTGATTGATTGATTGATTGATTGATTGATTGATTGATTGATTGATTGATTGATTGATTGATTGATTGATTGATTGATTGATTGATTGATTGATTGATTGATTGATTGATTGATTGATTGATTGATTGATTGATTGATTGATTGATTGGTTACTTCATACATTGATTACTTCATTCAGTCATTCATCATTCATTACCAATGACATGCTCTGAGTGACGTCATGAGGGGTTTAAAATTCTTTCCCGTCTACCTTCATTGCCAAGACCACCAGGACGTCCCCACCTTCTGGAAGTCTCCACCACCACCAACAACAACAACACCACTACCAACACCAACACCACCTTTGTTTCACATAATAATATAATGTTTATTAATTATTATTATTATTATAATAATTAATATTGTTTTCATTTTTATTTATTTATTTTAGACAGACCCTGTGTTCACAGCTCTTCACAGAATATGTCAATGAGAACATGCTCTTTTGGGCCTGAAGCACGAATCGAGCTTAAGGCTACAGGAATCATTAATATTCATGGTTTTTATGTTAATTTAGGCAAATTTATGCAACATCGTGGTAATTTATGCAAATTTATACAGGCTCGTGGTAATTTATGCAAATTTATACAACTTGTGAGTGTAAATTTTTTTTGAATGTAGCCCCAACTCGCAATATGAAGATTCATTATTATTATTATTTCATTAAAATTATTATTATTATATATCATGTTGTTTATCAAATTTACGCCATTAATAACTTTTTTGTCGACAATTGCGAGTTAATTTAATTACCCGCCTAATTGAAGTGTGTATCCATCCATCCATCCATCCCTCCATTCATCCATCCCTCCATCCATCCATCCATCCATTCATTCACGATCTTTAGTAAATATCCAAGGTTATTTATTTGAAAATTTTTGGGTCAAACCCAACTGGCCACAAGGTCATGCAGCCACTAATTAGAGCAAATGGGTTACTACCGCTGAGCCATGTCAAGTAAAAAAATTTTATTGTTTATTTATTTATATATATTTATTTGTTTATTTATTTTTTCTCTCTTTCTTCCATTCTATCTTTTTTCATTATTTATTTATTACAATTTTTTATTTAATTATTTATTAATAATAATAATAATTATTTATTTATTTATTCTTTTTAATCAATGAAAAACAAAACAGGCAAATTCAGAGAGTCATTTGAGCCGTACTTCGTGGTTCCGAGCTGGTTGTGGGCCCGATACAACGAGGACCTGATGGAGAGGATGTGCGACAAGGCTGCCTACACTCGCCTCCTCCACGGACTTGGGTTCGAATTTTGGGTGGCCTCCGACGATTTCATCCTCCTCCTACTACACCCACTAAGTGACGTCACCAAGAAGTATTTCATCTATCAAGATATGCAGCGGTTTTTTTTTATATGTATTATTAAGAGATGTCACTACATTCTCAGCTTTGAAAACATTAACTAAGTATAAGATGAAAATGTAATTATATTTCTTAATAATTTTATGTATAAAGTCATGCCTAACCTGGTAGTTTGAACTAGAAACATGAAAATAATTTAAAAGATGGTTGAATATGACGGAGAATGAAAGTAGAAAATTATTAAGCAAATTTGTAAACGAAAAAAGGAGTAAATTAATCAAAAAATGAATTAAATGGATGAAAAATCGGTGAACGGTGAACGAATGGATGAATGAATTAATGACTTGATGAATGACTGAATGCATGAATGAGTAAATGAATGAATGAGAATTTAAAATAATATTTTTTATTTTATACAGATGTGGTGCTTTCTTAATGGCGAAGTATCGGTCAGACCTCTTTCAATTATTTCCCAATCTAACATTTTGAGTCATGGCATTTTGAATCAATGTACCTACCGAGCAAAACATTCCATTTCATTGCGTTTTTATCGGTTCATGGACAGATGGTTGCATTTTTTTAAAGCTTTTTATTTTTTTCAAGTGAATAACTTCTTGACATAAACTTTAAAACTTTGGAAATCTCTGTCTTCCGGAACGTTTTTTTTCAAGCAGTAGCGGATCTAAAAAAAAGTTGACGAGGAGGTCAACATTTGACGGGGGGCCAAGAAATTCACAAAAATTTTGTTAATGTCGCCAAAATTAGGCTGGAAAGCTTTTTCTGCCCATCACGCTCGTTTTTGGCAACAACGGGTGAGCCACGGCCTGCCCAATTTTTCCAAATGTCTGTATCTAACTTTATATTGATGTTCTTTATTGTTATTATATTACCATTTGAGTCGGGGGGCCAAGAAATTCACAAAAATTTTGTTAGTGTCGCCAAAATTAGGCTGGAAAGCTTTTTCTGCACATCACGCTCGTTTTTGGCAACAACGGGTGAGCCACGGCCTGCCCAATTTTTCCAAATGTCTGTATCTAACTTTTATATTGATGTTCTTTATTGTTATTATATTACCATTTGAGTTGATTTATATAATAAATTTTATGCAGCTGAAATTAAATTTTCAATTTTTCTCAAATTAACTCTTAATAGCAGGAATATATAACTGTTAAGTTGATGCACAAATGGTTTTCATATTTCTTACAAAAAAAACTTATTTGCTATCAAAATTCAGTCAATAATTAAGTTAGATTTAATTAAAATTCATACATGAATTATTATCAACTAATGTATTAATACGTTAGATACGTTGACATTATTCAAACTAGTGAGATTATATATTATATTATTATTATTATTATTATCATTAAAATTTATGAAGCGCTTATTAAAAATAATAATGTTAATTTTTCAAAAGCGCTATCCTATAATTAACAGAAATAGCGGAAAAAGTAGATAAAATAAACCACAAATAAATCAGTTCACAGTTATTGATTAAATAAATGAGTCTTCAAATTCTTCCTAAAGTTTTCAATTCCTGAATTGCACACCCTCAACGACCGTGGCAAACCATTCCATTCAACCGCCCCCGACACTGCAATACTTCTTGCTCCTATCTGCAAACGAAAAACAGGCATAACCATCAAATTATCATCATCAGATCTTAGACTTGTGCCAATACGCAAATTTGATCTCTTCTTATTGAACTTGCATGTCAAATATTCTGGCGTAAATCCATTTAAAACCTTGTACATTACCATACAGATTTTATATATTATCCTTTTATTGACAGTTAGCCAATGTCGGTTCCTCAAAATCGGCGTAACGCGATCAAATTTAGCACCACCTGCAACAATTTTAGCAGCTCTATTCTGGATGGACTGAAGCATCACAATCGAAGCATCTAAACCATAAAACATGCTATTGCAATAGTCCAAACGTGAATGGATGAACGCGTGCATTAATGACTTTAATGTTGATTTGTTCAATGATTTTTTAACTCGATTCAATCTTTGCAGTTGGAATGAACATGTCTTCACAATTGTTTTTATATGATCATTCATAGTTAGTTTGGTGTCAAAAATACACCCCAAATTTGTAGCCCTATGGCAAAACTGAACATTTTCATTTTGTATTATAACTGAATTAATACCAACCCTAGATAACTGCTGCCAGGTGCCTATAGGAAGAAACTGGGACTTGCACTGATTTAACTTCAGATAATTACAGGACATCCAAACATTCGATAAGCTTGTTAATTTCAAAATGGAAGGTATCAGGTTTACTACTTAAAATTATCTGAATGTCATCTGCGAAAGCATGGTATTTAAAACCAAATGACTCGATAACTCCATAAAGATCAGCTGTATATAATAAGAACAAAATAGGTTCAAGCACAGAACCCTGTGGTACACCGGAGGAGACCAGTTTTATATTTGATAATTTATTTTTATAAGAGACTTGTTCTGTTCTTCCAGAAAGATAAGACTTAAACCAATCAATCACGGGGCCCGAAATCCCAAAATCGTTGTTCATTCTCTCCAACAGAATACCATGATCTACACAATCAAATGCCGCAGACATATCCAAAAACGTCAACAGAGAAACATTTTGCTCATCAATAGCAGCATATATTTTTGATAAAACATATAACAAAGCGGTTTCCGTAGAATGGTAACGTCTATATCCAGATTGGCAGAGAGAAATCAATTTAAATTTATCTATGTGTTTTAACAAACTTTTTGCAACGACGCGTTCGATGACTTTCGACACAAAACACAAGTTTGAAACTGGTCGGTAATTCCTTAGATCACTCCTATCTGCATTATTTTTTTCAAAATTGGGAGAACAATTGCATGCTTACAAAGAGCAGGAAACGCACTAGTTGTCAAGCTTAAATTGACAAAACTTGTCAAAAAAGTAATAAATAAATCTAAATACTTCTTAAGAACATAAGTAGGAATCAAATCCAATAGACACGTCTTTGATGGTAAATTAAATATAATCTTTTTTAATTCCGTTTCAGTTACAGGTGGAAAAAATGAAAACAATTCATCACTGTTTAATTTACTTTCATCAAAAGCTGGTCGATTTGCAACGTTCGTAGCTTGTCTAACTCTATCAATTTTCTCTTGAAAAAAATTTAAAAATTGATCAGAGCTATAATCTGGCGTCTCTTGAATTGAAATCGAATTGTTATTGCATAATACTCTGTTGACAATGCTCCATAGATTTTTAGGACTATTTTTATTATCATTGATTAATTTTTTCCAATAAGAATTTCGCTTTTTTGAAAAAAGCTTAGTTTTATGCTTCAAAGCTGTGACCCAATCACCACGACGCTCAGGCAGCACACAGTTTCTATATTTTCTTTCTTTTCTTCGACAATCTGCTCTTGCAATGTAACATTCCTTATCAAACCTAGGACAGATTAGATCACACCTAATTTTAACATAACGAAGTGGTGCGATTATATTAACTATCTTCGTCAATTCATCATTAAAAATATTAAATTCACAATCAATGTTGTCGCTTTGACACGGTTTAGATAAAGGAGATTTTTCCACAAGCGTTGCTAAGTCATCACCATTCATATACTTCCAAGATCTGACTAATTTTATATTTGTCTTGTTACATAATTGTTTTATTGGTATTTGAACCAAAACCAAACCATGATCAGAGTAGACACCACTTGGTAAAACTCTACAATCTGTAGCCTGGAAATCACTAGAACTGGCAATTAAATCGAGTGTACCACCAAGAACATGAGTCGGTTTATTTACATGATTTGTTAATTGAAACATTTCAAAAACTTCAAGTAAACGAATGGTATTCTGATCATTAGCTCTTTCAAGATGAACATTAAAATCACCCGCTAGCAAAACATTTGAACTTAGAACAGAAATATTTTCTAATACATTTACAAGTTTTTCAAAAAACAAAGCACTAACCAATGCCGAGCCAGGTCTGTATACCGCCAACAAAACAAAATCTGTTTTATTTATTATGAATCTAAGAGCAATAGCTTCAAACGTAGTCAGTAGTGGTAAACTAACTTCTTTGCATTCAAAACGAGATCTATGAAATACAATTAAACAACCATGATGAGGATCGTGGGGTCTCAAATAATCCACAAAATTAAAGCCCGATGGCATTGACAATTTAACTGAAATATTATCTGACGCCCGATGCCAAGTTTCAACCAACACAAAAATATCCAGCCCATCCAAAATCAATTCATGAACAATATCAAATTTTGAAACAATTGATCTGATATTTAACAAACCAACATTTATTAAATTTACTTTATCTCCGGATGAAATGTTACAATCCTCCACCTTCTCACTGGCCCCACTACTCTGTATAAAAAACCCGACTTATCAGCTGCTTCATCCACTTTTGCCTTGTCAACCAGAGCCCTGTGCTCCTTCCTTTGGTCAATAGTCAAATCATGGCTAAGACCAATGTGTTTAAACTCTTCAGACAACGACTTCATTCTGGAGACGTTCCGCATGATGTTATTTTTGACATTCAAATTATCAAATTTTACCAATATCGGTCGAACAGCACCATCTTTCTTTTTTCCGAGTCTCATAACTTTGACAATGTCTTTTTCAGATGTCTCGTCCGATAGATGTTTTAATATTTTCATAATATTAGAACGGTCGCTATTACCCTCATCCAGGCGGAAGAAAACTAAATTCAATTCTCTCTCTTTAAGTATAGTTGCATCATTTAACGTTTTATGTACAGCCTTTACTCCATCATTAATGACATCAACACGGTCTTTGACTTCACGTCTAACAATGTCGGCAAATGTGGTACCCATCTCATTGTTGATTACATTGACATTGGTTTTAACTTCTCGCTTAACAATGTCAGCGAACGTATTACCCATTTCATTTTTCAAGTTTGTTATTTCATTACGAACTGACGATTCATTATTATCAAGTCGAAACAATGTACGTTCATTTAACATAAGACTTGCTTTAATATTATTCATTTCTTGTTGGAGTTCATCATTAAATTTATCCAACTTTGGCAGAATCTGAGCACTACCAGCCTCAAGATCATTGAACATTTTCTTGAATTCAAAACCTTTTAGTTCGGTTGACGATTCAACACAGTCGTCACAGAACCATTTTAAATTGTTATACGCTTCAACTATCTCGCATATAGGTTCAGTCAAAAGTGTACATTCCAAATGAAAAATACTATTACATCGATAACAGCATCCACGTTTTTTATTCACCTTTAATTCTTTCAAACACTTTCTGCATGTACATTTCTCACCATTAGCTGCAGACATGCCGGCGCACACAAATTATAATGAGCAATCACGTGACTCCAAATTAAAAAAAAACTTATTCTATAATTAAACTTTATAAATAACTAAAACTATAATATTATTTAATTTAATTTATATTAAACTAAATTTACTTAATCGATTATTCTAAAATACAACAGAAATTTATTGAAATTAACGAATAAAATTGAGATTTACTAGCAGCGAAAAATATCCAACCGTTACAGCCAACTAACTAACTATATATATATATATATATATATATATATATATATATATATATATATATATATATATATATATTATATTGCTAGTTTGTCAAAAAGAAAAATTGTTATTGGAAAAACTGGGTGGAATCAAATAGCGACAAACCAAAACGTCTTTGGAATGCCGTTAACGGTTTGCTTGGAATGGAACAGGTAATGGATGTATCAGAAGTTGATCATAGTTCTCTTGACTTTTCCAAGTTTGTCAAAAACAAAATTGATGATGTTCGTAATTTAACCAATCATTGTGATGAACCAACATTCACTCCATGTGATCTTGATGAAGAATCTTTTTTTCAAACTTCTCGCCCTGTACTGACAGCTACATAAAAAAAAGTCATTTTAGAGTCTCCATCAAAATTTTGTTTTCTTGATTGTGTACAAAGATTTTTTAAAGATTTGTTGATTTGTTTTTACCGTTTTTAACGTTTTTCATAAATTTGTTTTTGAGTTCTGGCTCATTTTCATCTGCGTTTAAAAATGCTGTTGTCACACCAATTTTGAAGAAGAATTCTCTTGATAGACATGAGTTAAAAAATTACCGACTTGTATCAAACCTTATGTTTTTGTCAAAGTTGGTTGAAAGAATCGTTTTATCACAATTTGCTTCTCATTTGAAAATTCATAATCTTCTGCCGGTTCACCAGTCGGGTTATCGTGTGTTTCACTCGACAGAAACAACTTTAATTGATGTTTCGTCAGGGTTGTATTCATCAATGGACGAACAAAATGTGTCATTGCTTGCTCTCTTGGACATGAGCTCGGTGTTCGATTGCGTCGATCATGCAATACTTCTCAAAAAACTGAAGCAAACATTTGGACTATCGGGAGTGGTTCACCAGTGGTTCGTGTCGTCGTACCTTGCTGGTCGTACTCAACAAATTTTATTCAAAACAAATTTGGCAGCTGTCGATGCTTTGTCATACGGTGTACCACAGGGTTCCGTCTTAGGTCCTATTCTCTTTTTGCTTTATACAGCAGATGTTTACACAATAATTGAGTCGTACAATTTCAGGTTTCATGCATTTGCTGACGACATCCAAATAATAGCCAACTCCTCTCTTGTCGTTTGGTGATGTGGTCGTTGATTTAGTATTGTGTTTATCAGCCAATCTTCAGCATATAGTTGAATGGTGAAAAAAAAGTTATTAATAATAAGAGGTAATTTAGAAGTATAGAGCATAAATAGAAGAGGGCTAAGAATAGAACCCTGAAGTACCCCGAAAGTAAGAGTAAGGGTGTCAGAAGTAGAACATGACATTACTTATTGTTTAGGAATCAAAAAAACTCTAGTAGAAAACGTACAGCGGGAGATGTGACTGCTGGTGAGGACAACCTTCGAGATGGGCTCAGTCTTCTGTAAATCAATCATCCACCAACCAGGACCGTCGTCAAGAGCCTCGTTATAATTTCCACATGCAACGGAAAAAGTTACAGTATTCTTGTCAATGGCCAAGCCAGCGTGTTGATCTTTATATGTTCCTTTCTGAACGACATGATATATCGACAGTTCCAGTTTGTTTACTGAGTGAACTGTTCAAAAACAAATTTGGCAAATGAATTACGTACAAGAAAATAATTTTTCAACTGTCTACTAAACTATAAAAGATTATATACATATTTTTCAATTCAAATAGTTTTCCATAATTTTTTTTATTTGTCTAACGGATCAAATCGTTTGAAACACTAATAAAAACACCCACCTATTTTTGAAGTAAAAATGTTAATTTCAGCAATGGCTAGGGCATCAGGTCTGAAGGTGGCATTCTCCACCCTGACGACATACAAGTTTTATTCCAGTTTTAGATAAATATGAACTCAAACAATACCGCCTCGTTGAATGTCTTATAAAGAAGTTAATTAATGCAAAATGGGCAAACAATTTCAATGAAATTTGCATATATATATATATATATATATATATATATATATATATATATATATATATATATATATATAGTAATATGATATTCATAAAGCGCTAATTATAATTGCTTTTCATCAGCGCACTCCACGCAGAAGTTTACAAGTTGACCACATTTTCAGTAGCTTGACGGCGGTGTAGAACGGTTGAATACTTATAAAATAAACAAATGTGTTTTAAGACGTTTTCTAAATTCTGATAACGATATTTCAGAATATGTGACTTTGATGTTTTTTATCTTTATTGTGGAAGCGTTTTTTAAAGGCTCTAAACTGCATCATTTTAATGTACAATTAACTGCTTTATTATGTGGCGATGTGGAGTTCGTAAGTACATTTGTATATAAAAACAAACTAAGTATCAAAATGTACTTGCATTGTTCTACTTAATTTTTTTATATATGCTCATACTTAAGTACTTTCTCAAGTACTTGTACTTAAAAATAATTACATTTTCTTATTAGAACTGATATTTTATAAATTTCCATGTTAAACATAAACTTTGACATTTGCCACCTAAGTTTGATTGTATGTATATATTTATGTATGTTTCTATGTCTGGATGTATGTTTGTATATTCATTTGTTCACATGTGAACTTGTATATATGTGTATATTCATCATGAGCATATTATATATAGGGTAGGGTGGGGCAAGAAGCCATAGTTAAGCCTTTGATGAGTGACTACATCTAAAAGATAGAATATTTCTACAATATTAGTGATTATTTTACTAGATTGATATGTCCTTTATCTAATTTTACAAATTAAATTGTTCAAACATAGGTTTCCTATGTTTTATAGCACAAGTTATCTAATTTTACAAATTAAATTGTTCAAACATAGGTTTCCTATGTTTTATAGCACAAACCGTAGACCTCTATAAAATGGGCCTTTTGCCCCATGCCTGGGGCAAGGCCTGTGTAGAAAAACTATTAAAATAAGCCTTAAAAATAGTTTCAAATCCGAAAATGTAAAAACATTTTAACAGTTTTATTGTACATAAAATAAAAATTGGATGAAAAGAAAATAAAAATGTTATTGTTAATTATTGTTCCAATTGATACAAATAAAAGTTCTACGATGGTCTTCTTCCAGCCCTATACACAGGAATTATGATGCCAAATGTTACATTTTTGGCATTTTATTCATTGAAATCCTGTGAAATCATTACAAAAAATTTGTGAACATGTCCCACAAAGAGTCAAATCTTTAGAGCGCCTGACAACCGACTAAGCTTTATAGTTCCCGGATATGTTGTCATGGCTTTTGATGTCTTCTTAAAGTTCTTGCAGGCAGTGGCGGATCCATAGGGGGGGGGCGATGGGGGCGATCGCCCCCCCTAATGAAAAAAAAGAAAAATTTCTAGTTTATTTTGTCAACTCTTTATTACTTATTGGTTGATGACGATTTGAATAAACATAAATAAAATAAAAAATAAGTAAGCAATATAAACAATTTGACAGACACAGATTCTCAACCAAATAAAAATGCCTGTTTGTTTCATTACAAAATGCCATTTAGATGAAAATGTTACTTTACACAAGTTAATTTAATTTAGATTATACTATACTATAGCTATAAAGTATAACACTATGTAATATAATTATAATAATCAGCAAACAATTATACATAATAATACAATATAATAGTAATAAATAATATTAGTAACATAATAAATGCATTAAATGGTAATTTTAACTCAAAGTTGTATAAATAATTTGTGCTGATATTAAGTTAAATTTTAATTAAGAGTTAAATTTAAAGAGTTAAATTTTTAAGAGTTAAATTTAATTTTAATTAAGAGAATGCAATGGGAAAATCTCATTAAAAAATACATTGACAATTACGATGAAAAAAAAGATTTTAATTTGTAGCAAACATTTTACACCAGGAAGTTTTCATATAGTTGGTTTGAAAATTTCTCTTTAAAAAAATGCTTTTACATCGACGACGGTGGTTTGGTTTTTCCTTCCCGTGGTGTCAGGGTTATTAAAATAATTGATTTCTAAAAATTTTTGCGTTATGCTTTTTCTATATCATCATCATAAAACAGTATACAAGAAAACATATATTACGATTGAATAACAATAGAAACAATGCATTAACAATCATTAACAACATTGCCAATAACAGACGGCTACCAATAAACTATTCCTAGCATTTAATAAACAGATTTGTCATGTATCAGAGTGGCAATTAAAAATGGAAACCGAGCGACATAAAATGAATACTGAATCGGTAGTTTCAAATGTTTTTAAAAGGTTGGCCAATGAAGATTTATTAAATCTCAAAGAATATATAACAGATACATTTAATGGATTAAATAATCATTATTTTTGTTTACTTAGACTTATTGCAAAAACATATATAAATGTACGTTCATTTCATTTCGAAAAAACCACAAATCAAATAAAGATTCGTTCTAAATTTCATAAGTTAATACATTTCAAGGGACAATAAAACCATTTATCAATGAAAAGATTTATCAACCATTTGTAAATTTTGAATTGTTTGATTTACTTAGTAAATATATTTGTGTCATATATATATTAAACAATCTTTTGCTATATGTTGGTAAAATCTGAATTTTTTATTTGGTCATTATGTTTTAATAAAACCTGTCACTCTAACATCTTCATTATTTTATATTTCATTTATTTTTTTTATCTATGAAATCATTATTTTCAACATATTTTAACATACTTTAACATACTTCAATCATATTTCATTTCTAATTGAGTTTTCACATTTGATTCATTCAATTGAAACAATAATGCATCAACAATTATTTCAATTCTTCATTGTTTTGGAATTTGTTTTTTCATTCAAAACATTTAACAATTGGCCTTCAATTTTTTTTCCTGTCATAATTAGTTTTTGAAATTAAGCTGACAACAAATTTTTAATATTGTAATTATAAATCAAACCCCAATATTGAAAAATGTTCATTATACTTTTTTATATATTCATCAACTAACAAAATTATTCTCAAGACCTTCTTTACCTAACATGTATGCCTTTATATCCAATCATTTAATGTTATCAAATTTTTGATTTCAATTTAAACATGCATTTTTTAAATCTCTTTATACTATTCAGTATTTTTTCTGCAAGAGTTTATTATTGCATTCTCATCTGCATTTGTAAATATCTGATCATTAATCTACATCATAATTTTACTGCAGCAATATATTAACTAGTTTCCAATTTTAATAATTCCTTTTTTTATCTAATTAATTTTTTCATACAAAATATAACTTTTTTTGAGATAAACTTTAGATAATGTTATATCGATTGAAAGTTTCTATAAAAAAAAGATATCATTTCATTTCATTTTTTAATAAAATATTTTTAAACATTTGTGTCTCTTTGTTGTCAAATTAGTTGCCAATGACTTACGTAAATGATTTGCACTTAAATATAAAACTATCCTGATTTTAATCGCTAAAAGTAAAGTATTGAAAATACACTTTAAAAAAATTTATTTAAATATTACTTATTTTATCACTGATTAAATGTAGAATAAACACAGTTTGCTAAAACCAGTCCATTTCATATTCATGGCATACAATATAAAGGCAGATTTGTCATTAATTTACTCTGGCTTTTATCAATAACTAGAAATTATTAAAATTGAAAGCAGACATTTCCCATTTTTTATATTTACAGTACAAATTCTAGAGACAACATGAAAGTTTATGAAATATGGTTCAGCTTCAGATGATTATTCTATATTCAAAAAAAGGTACTCAAATGTATGATTGTCAGCTATTGTTATTACAGTAATTATGAGCAGTCATACATTTGGTATACATTCTCATGAATTTACATATCACGTTTATAATAATAATAAAATAAAACGTAGACAAATTAAAACAACATTTCACTAAATATCCATTGCACGTTCCAACCACAGATGCAAATTCACCAGCTCCAGAGCCCGGAAGGAAACGTGAAAAGAAACAGCATTCAACAAATAATGTGGCAAACATCAAAATGAAAGAAGCCGGTAATGTAAATTGAAGTGAAAGGGCCAATGAAGGAGTGCAGGAATCAAGGGATCATGGTTGCACTATATCAACTTAAGTGAAATAAGCAAAGGGAAGGAGGCCCAGAAAAGGGGTGCCGATAAAAATTGCCTGGTTTGCTCCACCATCAGACGATGAAGAAATGATCAACGAAAAATTTTTTTAGTGTCTTGTTTTGCAGTTTTTAAATTGTAATAATATTGTAAAAAATACATCAGAACAATTTAATACGTATAATTTTTATAAAATATTTCTACAATTTCTTATGTTTGTTGCACCAAGAAAGATGTCATTATTGTTTCAAATGCCATGTAGTGTTGCAAAATTCCTAATTCATAAAATTTTTGAGAGCGCAAACAAAAAATAATAAGAATATGTTTAAAACTAAATTTTTGTTCTTTCATGGTTTTTTTAATTAAAAATACTTGCACCATGAAAGATGTCATTGTTGTTTCAAATGCCATGTAGTGTTGCAAAATTCCTAACTCATAAAATTTTTGAGAGCACAAACAAAATATAATAAGGATATGGTCAAAACAAAATTTTTGTTTTTTCATGGTTTTTTTAATTAAAAATACCCCAAACTACAAAATTTGATATGTATGCAAAATACAACAACACTCAGTTAAATGGAAAGTTGTCCTTCACCGATATTTTAGGGCTTAAATGGATAATAGAGAATAGAGAACAATTGTAAGCTGTTAAACATTCCTGCTCGAAAACACGCACCAGCGTGGTCAGGGGTTGTCTTGAAGCTGAAACTCTCACCAAAATTTTTGTTAGAGTTAATTTGAACTAAAATGTGTTTATGATTTGAGAAAAAACTGTTTTAGTCACCTCAAACTTTAAAACTTATCCAATTTTCTAATACCCAGGTAATTGTATAAGAGTGAACTAATTTAGAAAATAACATAAATAAAAAACAATGTCTTTAATAAACAATCATTTACAAAAGGGTTTCTAATCTTATTTCAAATGAATTGAATTTTCATCAACACAAATGTAGTCAATTTGATGTGTAATCATAAATTAAAAACTTACACAATAAAATAAACAAAAATATTTTTCTAAAACATAAAATTAGCATTTAATGATGGATAATAAACAACGGAACTATGAAAACGATTGGCAGATGTTGAAACGATCAAATCTGTAATACAGTTATCGTGGGTTTAAAACGCGTAGAGTAAAAGAATAAATTTGCCAAATTAACTAATAAAGTTGTGTATTAAAAATAACAAAAAATTGAAATTATATGGAAATAAACAAAAACAACAAAAAAAAAAATGACTCCCGAAATATAACAACAAAAGCGAAATAAAAAAAACATCGAACCGACAACTGTAGACTAATCTACGTGAAAAACATTAACTACGCCGACTCTGAACAGCACTAAAGTAACGAAAAATTCTTGAAATTAACCAGAAAAATTTCCGCAAAAAACACGATAGAGCTGAAAAATTATTGGTACTGAATAATAAAAGTATATGTTTTAAATAATTTCTTCTGAAATTTTATTTCATTAGGCAGAACTCTGCTTATAATATTTAGGCAAACAATGTTTACAGTACCTTGGTGCATTGTAATTTAACAAAAACGGACAACAGCGTTTGCCAAGTTTGCATAAAAAATATAGGTTTCTGCTTCCAGAGCAAATTTCTAAAAAATTTTTTTGCAAATCTGAAAACGAGATTTAGTAAAGATTCAATTGAAAAATTGGGTTCAAATAAAGAAACCTGCTTTTATCTTTTATACAGTAAAAGTCCTCTAGAGAGGACACCATTGGGGAATGACCAAACTGTCTTCTCCTCTTAACTGTCCTCTCCTCAAGACTCAACATCAAAATCTTTTTTGATATACTACATAAAAAATTAAAATAAAACAACACGTTTTTAATATTGTTATGGAAGAAAATCATTCATAGTTGTCTGTTTGCCAAAACATTTTGTTTTTAACAATTCAATTTCTAAAATATTTTCAATGTTCTCAGAAAATTGTAACAATTCTCTATTGCCCACATGTATCGAATATGAAGTTAGCTTCCTGGCACATTGTAATGCCATCTTTGTAGAAACTTCTTGGACTGGAGCCTCTTCTTCCTCTTCATCATCTTGGACTTCAAATTGTTCATGATTTTCAGAACTTTGTGGGCTATGGATTGAGTCATCATTGTTATCCATGGTTACAAAATTTTCCCAAGTAACAGAACCCAAAAGGCTGGTTATGGTAAGATCAGCTTCAATCAGCTGCACATCTGTATCTATATTTTTTCCTATTCCAAAACCACACTTATTAAAACATTTTGTGATTGAAGTAGGATTAACATTTCTCCATGCCACATCCAACCAATTAATTGCATTTAATAGGTTAACAGATTTTGCTAGTTCTTGTGCTGTATCTGCTTCTTCCATGTCTGTCAAAACATGTCTCAATAACTTTTTCCTATAAATAGCTTTAATTTGTAAAATTATGCCAGCATCTAAAGGCTGCAAGCGTGACGTTGTTTTTGGTGGTAATTAACGATAACATTTGACATGGAAATCACTGGATGAGCAGAACAATTATCAACAAAGATAGCAATTTTTTTTCCAAGTTTAAAATTTTTTTTCGCAGAGTCGACTCCATTATTACACAACAGTTTATCAACACGGTTTTTTAAATAACCAAAGATTATCAAAGTTTCTTTAGCGCATTCCATAGAATAGAATAAATACAAATATTCAAATTAGATGGCGCATTTTATCAAATATTCCATGTGGTTTTGTTATAAATTGTCCGCTCTTTAAGACATAAAAGTCAATTTGTACTTAAAACCCTGTTCGTAGTTCGTTCCTTTAAAATGTCCGTTCTTTAGGGTCTATTTAACATGCAAAACGGTTCCGTGCCAAGCAATACTGTCCGTTACTCTTATCTGTCCATTCTTTAGGGTCTCGCTCTAGAGGACTTTTACTGTAGTAAAATAAGTTAGCAATGGAGATCATAACACAGTGCTCGACACAATGAACCAAATTTTTATTTTCAGCCAAAATAAGGCTCTGACGAAAATTATCATAAAAAGAAAATACAATAAAATGAGCAACATCGTATTTGAATGTGGTTGCCGCACTTTTTTTGAAAATCATTTTGCTATGATCACATGATAAGAATATCCACATCTCAGAGCACACTGAACAGTAAAATTGTTGTAGACAGAACCTGTGATGAACCGCGATATAACATTGATCAAATTTCTCCATATTTGCGCAGTGTCAACATGGATGTTTCGAGATTGAAATTCGGGGACTTTTTTTGAATTTTAGTTTGGCAAAAAAAGCGTACGAGAACGCAATCTCATTCATTGACAACTCAAAAGTTCTTCTGAAAAAAACAGATTAAATTCATTTGTTTATCCTGGCGCCTCTGACTATTATTATTATATCGTTTTAAATTCAGATTCGTATGTCTGAGTCGTTAAATTTTTTTCACATTTTTTTGTATTCTAACATTTTAAACACGTGGTTTTAACTGTTCCAAAATATTTTCTTAAATTTAATAATTATAATGTTAATAATATACCTTATACATATATATAAATATTAATATAATATCATTATAATGTTAGTATTACTTACATAATAATATATCATATGATAAATATATTTAAAATATATATATTAATTTATCTAAATTCAAAACCAAACTCCTAAACCTTCTATTGAAATCAATCCTTACACGCACATGCAGCCAAGGACAACTCCGTTTGAACAGGAGTTAGAATGCAGACGATCAACTGATTGATACCATGAAGATCATCAATCGGTTGAATTGCCTACAACTCATATCAATTACAATTATAAAAAGGAGAGGTGCTTGAGCAACGAGAGGGTCGTACGGAATGGTGTCATGTTTGAAGTAGCCAAATCAGAGAATAAGAATAACCTCAATTTTGATATTTTAGAAGAATTCAAGGCATAGAATTATTTGTGCCATAATTGTTCACATTGCAACTAAATTCAATAATTACAATTGAAAAAATCAAGGTCAATATTCAGGATTCACTTTGATTCGCATTATTAAGATTCACTTTAAAAAGCTCTCACAATCCTAACTTTGATATGTTCAGAAAATGATTACTTAAGATTCACTTTGATAAGCTCTCGCAAATATAACTTTAATATGTGCAGTAAGTAATTACTTAAGATTTATTTTTAAAAACCTCTCACAAATCTAACTTTAACGTACTGTAACTTAAAGTGATAAACAGTAACAAAGTCAAAAAAAGTTACAACAAACTATATAAGCTTGTACACAATTTAGGCAAATAAAAATAATTGTTTTCTAATATCCTTTTAGACGTGTTGATACAAAATTTTTTAGTCACAATCTTTATAAACTCTAACATAATTTAAAACACAACTCATTATAACCAATCGTAAAACGTTCATAACTTAACATTAAAAGGGTTAATACAAGTCTTTTGTAAATGGAAAGCATGGATTTTTCCTCCTGAAATGAAAACAACAAAAAAAAGAAATGTCCTGTTGACAACTGCGAATTTTCAGCAGTGAACAACCACCACGTGAAATACCTCATGCTGACCAAACATGGAATAGGACAAAAACTTACTTGTCCAATTTGCCACACACATGTGCCAACAACTCCATGCTTAACCGCCACATGAAAAACCACTCAGAAGTGAGGTCACACTCTTGCCAGACATGTGGAGCCTCGTACAAATTTTTGTACAAATTGAAACAACATCTCCTAAAGCATCCATCTCACGTTTCAACCACAGATGTAAATTTACCGGGAAGGAAGGAAACATAGTTCAACAAACCGCGACATGCAAGAAAAAGTCGATAATGTTAATGGAAATGGAAGGGGCAATGAAGGAGTGGAAGATGGAAGGAAAGATATTCTGCATCATGAGCATCAAAATGAAAAGGATCGTGGTTGCACCGCATCGACAAAAGTGAACCAAACTTTGGAAAAGAAGTCCAGAAAAGGAGTACACAGAAAGATTACGTGGTTTGCTCCGCCATCAGACGATGAAAAAATGATGAACGAAAGACTTTTTTAAGACTTGACTTTTAAGTTCCAGCATTCTTCAAAATCGTGATCTTTTCTAAATATTTAGATTAAACAAATTGTGTCGTAACTTTTCTTGAATAATTAGTATGGATATTTTTTTAACAAGTTTTTAATTATAACAAAATTCAATGAAGTTGTAAATTTTTTAGCTATCAAATTTCATAAGAACACTAAAATATTTCGAACATTTTGCACCACCGTGACTGGACAAAAGCATAAAATATTTTGGTTTTCTATTTTCAAATTAACAGTTAGAAATTAATATTTTTTTAAAAATATGTATTATTATAAATTAACCTAAAATAACATAAAAACATTTGTTGGAGGACATCAAAGGCGGTGTGACATCTCAGTGGTTAAAGTCATTTGGTTTTGTATCGCCGTGCGTGCAGTGTTCGTTTTCAAATGACAAAAAAATCCCTGCTCATCACGCGCTTCTATAAATTTTCCTACACAAACTTATGTACACTGTTTGTGTGCTGTATTTTGTCTGAACCTTGAAAGAGTTTATAAAACCTTTAACCTTCAAGAGCTTGATAAGTTGCCAGTTTAAAAAATTAAAGCACTTGCTGAGTTGAAAAATATAAGAAACATTGATTTTAACCTGTGTTTATAATTCAAAAAATGGATCAATTATTAAGTTGTGGATTTTAATAACAAAAATATGTTTTAAAAAACATTTTTAATAACAAAAATATGTTTTAAAAAATTTTGAGGGTAATGAAATTCGATTACACAAAAAAACATAAAAGGATAGACAAATTGCAATCCGTATGAAAAGCGTTTGAGTGGCGCAAATATAGTTTGAAAAAGGCATACTAGATAGTATCAAGTGTGACTGTAGATGAACAATTGGTAGCAATCAGGATTGTCCATTTAGGCAATAATTATCCCCTAAACCACGGTAAGTTGGTATTAAACTTTGGCTTCTCTATGTGATAATAACTCTATTGCTGGAAAACAAAAATATACATGTGTGAAAAGAATTAAGTGAAAAGAGAGGCACAAATTAAGCTTGCAGAGTTGTTCTGAATTTAGTATAAAATTGGCAAATTCGGAGAAAATTGTTATTTGTAAAATTTTTCAATGCTAATTTGCCACTATATAACAGTTAAATTTTTTTTGTATATTTACTTTTGTTAAAATGAAAAAATGTTAATGTTTCTGCTGAGTGAGTGTTTTCAATGCTGGTATTTCTAAGGTTGAGCCTGGCTAATAGAAAGAAATTGAAAGCTACTTTGATCAACATTGATCAATCGTTCCTTTGATGTTCGATCTAATACGCAAGTAGAGCCAGGCCAGTCAATAAAACTTAATTGATCGATCAATAGTTATTTTTAATTGCTTTTTTCTTTGAAGTGAACATCGTGTCAACGCTTTTTGATCAACCAATTAAAAGTTCATTTAATTGGTCTGGAAAAGTATAAAAGAAAGAATAGAGTATAGGTGAGACATTTTCTACAATACTCGTTCATTGTTTAACAAAATCAACCGTTTCTAATTCTTAACGATTTTGCTAATTCAGAAAAAAAAATAATTTGCAATGTCTTCCATAAACACGAATAATTTAAAGATCGAAAATGTTCAAAATTTGGAAGACGAATTGTTAGACGATTCATTATTCGAAACAAATGTGAACTATTTTGAAAACAGAAGAAACATGGATATTTACAGAGGCAAACGATTCAAGAAAGCAAAGAGAATGCTGTGAGTAAAAAAGTAAAAAACTCTAACAACACTGAAGAAATTTCAACCAAGCCAAAAATTAATGCCTCTCCAACAACTTCAGTAGAAAACCTCTCCATAAATACCTCGGTCTGGTCATCCGACTCTATCGTTCCTAACAACGTCAACAACAATTCGTATTCATCGTTTATTTCTCCTTACCCAATTTATTTCACTGATTACTCAGCAAAACCTCTAACATCTGAGGACAACATAAGTACCAAGATGAAGGATCACGCATGTACATTATTTTCCATCACAACAACTGTCCAGCATGCAACGCTGAAAATCGACAGTGTCGCATTAGAGACAATTCGGATCATCTAAAACAACTCTGCATGATATTAGCAGTCCAACAGTCGAACTTATCTGTGAACGGGAGATTATAAAAATTTTTGAGAAAAATTTGGCAGTTGATGAGCAATATTCTTCTTAGACTATTGAAATTATCAAAAACCGTTTGTCGATACTGTTCATTTGATTTTGTTGTTATCTTGTGATTGTTGTTATTATTTCTTTTCTACTATATTTTCTATGATTTATGATGGATAATTTGATAATTTTCTTTCCGTTACGTTTTCTCATTTTGAAATTCGTTGAAATGAAATGAACACTACGTTTTTTTTAATTCATCAATTTTTGTGTAGATTTTCTGTTTGTATAGATTTTCATTTTGAAATTACATTTATTTGGTTACGTATATTATATATATTTTTTCATTTTACATTACTCTTCATTTTTAAATTAAATTAATGTTTCACAAGAAAATATCTCAATACGGCTACACGTTTGAATGAATTTTATTTACTTTTTGGTTAAAGGGTTAAAGTTTATGGAACATATTATTGTGAACCATCAAATCTTGTCGTGTACCTATAACAGATAGTCTGGACTTTTTGATAAAAGTTGGGAAACGGCTGACTTTTAATTAATGCTAGTTTTATGTTAGAGCTGTTAAGGCAAAATAATAAAATGAAATATATAGAGTGCGCTAGGGACAACGAGTGTTTCATATGAGTTTTGTGTATTGTTTTTTTGTGTAATACTGTGTATAGTTTGCTCTCATTTTGTACTGATTATTTCAACAAGTTTTATAACGATATGTCGAGGGCTTCATTATCGCAAACATGTAAAATGTTTAGTAATTAAAGTTACGAAGATGATGCGTTTCATCATATTTTGATGAAAATGGAGTAGAGATAAATTAATTAAATAGAAATGTGAAGATGAGTAAAGTGATGAAAAAATAAATAAAAATGTTATGAGTTTTATTAGAAACAAACAAAAATGACCTATCTAGGGAACAAAGGGAGGAAAGAAAAAAATTGGTTGCTGAGGCAATAGAAAAACAGAAATATGATCAGGGGGAATATATTTACAAGGTAAGTGGATTGCCAGAGAGTATCCGTATAGTAAAAATAAATAAAGAGTTTAGGTTCAATTTTAAATGTAAATAGGGATGATGCTGATGAATTTATATGTAGTTTGGGTGTAATTTACACAAATGTTGAAACTATTGGTAATGAAATAAATGAAATAAGATGTTTGGTAAACTCTGGGACTAGGCAGGCACATGTTTTAGTATTTTTAGAAATTAATCAAAAGAATATACATAATAATAATTATAATATATGTGAAAAGTGATCACATGTCATAATGATAAGCTTCTCATGTTTAGTTAGATGGGGAAAAAAATAAACAGTCAATTAAGCTTATTTATTTCAATAAAGGGAATTATGTGTCAATGAATCAATTTATTAAAGCAAATTTATCTCATGCATTGATGGATATGATAAATGTTGGTGACAATAGCAAACAATCAATAATTAATGGGATTTGGGATAGGTTTGTTTCTGTTATTGAAGGTGCAATTAATAAATTTGTACCAGTAAAGTATATAAATGATAACGAAAAAAAATTTCCTTAAATTACCAAATTTTGTTTTAAATTCAATAAGAGAAAAAAATTTATTATGGAAAAAGTTCATTAAGTACAGGGATAATAAGATATTTGATGATTTTAAGAAGGTGAGAAACAAAGTTAAAAGAGACATGAAGTTAATAAAGATTAATTATTTAAATGGTTTAGGTAAATTGGTTAAAATTAATCCTAAGATATTTTGGAAACAGATAAATAATAGTGGAAAGGATAGGTTTTCTATGGATAGTTTGTATGGGGTTGATAAAGAGGGAAATAAGATTGTTGTAACAAATGAATGTGAAAAAGCAAATGTTTTGGCTGATTTTTTTACCACTGTTTACTAGTAAGGGGGATAATGATTGCACACAGGAAACTGTTTTGTGCGAAGAAACAATTAATTTAATGAATGTGATTGCTTTTGAACCCCAGGTTGTTTTTAATAAACTGAAATTGTTGAATGTATGTAAATCGTGTGAACCAAATAACATTAGTGCAAACATATTGTTTGAATGTAAAGAATCTATTTATGATTACATAAGTTCATTATTCAATAAGTCTTTTGAATTGGGAGTCATACCTAATGAATGGAAAGAAAGTATTGTTACAGCCATTTATAAAAAAGGAGATAAAAAGGAAGCTAAAAATTATAGACCTGTTGCACTGACATGCATAACATGTAAATTGATGAATAATAAAGGATGCTTTGATGTCACATTTGAATGAAAGTGGTTTGCTGAATACAAAACAGTTTGGGTTTGTCTAGGGAAAATCAGCTGTTCTGCAGTTGTTAAAATTGATCGATGAATGGTCTAGGGCTGTGGATAAAAGTTATGGGATTAATGCAGTATATACTTCTATACTTTTAAATACATATTTTGTTCGACTTGTTATGGAAATGTATACAAATACTAAGACTCTTGTCAGCACAACGGTTGGAAACACAGATGCATTTGACATCGGCGTTGGAGTTCACCAAGGCTCGATTCTCAGTCCACTGTTATTTATAACTGTGATGGAAGAAATCACAAAACCGATACGCACTGGTGACATTTGGAATCTAGTATATGCCGATGATTTCGTTTTAACAGCCACGTCTGAGCAGATTGCAGCACAAATGTTTGAAGATTGGAACACCAGACTCGCCGATCATGGATTCAAAGTCAACATCAGCAAAACCAAAGCAATGGACACTGGTGAACCCATCCAATCCACAGCTACTGGACGATGGCCCTGTTTAGTTTGTAAAGCTGGTGTAGGTAACAATTCAATCAAGTGTCAGCAGTGTAACCAGTGGTGTTACAAACGTTGTTCAAAAATAATTGGTACTTTATCTAAAGTGTCCAATTTTGTTTGTCTTGCTTGCATCAATCCACAACAACAAATTCGAAATAGCACTGTTTTTGAAGCCATTAAAATAGAGAAAGTCACATCGTTTCAATATCTAGGAGATGTTCTGGATTGTACTGGAACAGCTGAAGCTGCCGTTCGAGCACGCATACGTGCAGCCTGGAATAAATGGCATCTCCTTGCCTCTATATTGATGCGACGTGACATCTCACTACCACTACGATCAAGACTTTATAAATCTGTGATACGTCCGGTGTTGTTATATGGTGCAGAAACATGGCCAATGACAACCAAACTGGAACAACAACTTCAACGAACCGACATAAAAATGCTCCGATAGATGCAACGAATTAGTCTGAAGGACCACATCAAATCTACCGAAATCCTGCGTCGTGCTGGTTTAGATGATATAATGGACGAATGCCGGCAACACCGTCTGCGGTGGTTTGGTCATGTCAAACGAAGTGGAAACACTGCCATAACATCTCTTGCAGATGTTGAAGTACCTGGCACACGTCCCAAAGGCCGTCCAAAGAAGTCCTGGTCGCAAACAATCGGGCAAGACATGAAAGCTCTAAATTTAAATGAAATGGATACAACTGATCGTCTAATTTGGCGCAAAAAGTTGATGGCAAAGAAAACAACGTCCTACCTCGGTCTCTGGACGCAAAAGGAAGATTGATTGATACTGATTGTGAAAAGACATTTGATAGAGTATCACATAGTAAATTAATGGTTAAGTTGAACAAATGTGGGTTGAATGACAAATTGGTTGCTTGGGTTTATAATTATTTGAATGGAAGAACATTTCGTGTGAGTGTGAATGATGGTATGTAAGATATTGTGAGGTAAAGAGTGGAGTTCCACAGGGTAGTGTGTTTTTAATTTCAATTTGTTTTTAATGTATGTTAATGATTTATTTGATTTGTTTACAGGATATAAATGGTGTTGCAATGTATATGTATGCAGATGATGCAAAGTTGTTTAAAATTATGAACTCAGATACGGATAGTGTGGTATTGCAGAGGGGTTTGAATGATTTGAATGAGTGGTGTGTGCAGAATGATGTGAAATTGAACAAAGAAAAATGTATTGTGATGAAGTTTGGTTGTTCTGTATCAGATAACAATTATGATTATAAAATAAGCTCGTACCCATCACCTTTTGTTGATAAAATTAAAGACTTGGGTGTTATTTTTGATACATCTTTGAAATTTATTGAACATATACATTGCAATGTTAAGAAGGCATTTTCATTGTTGGGTTTAGTAAACAGAAATTTTAAAGATATTAATAAAATGTTTTTATGTTATTATATAAATCCTTAGTTAGATCTCACCTGAAGTACGCAGCAAGTGTATAGTCACTGTGGACAATACGTGAAACAGGAGCAATCGAAAAGGGCAACAAAGATGATCAAGGACTGTGAGGAAATGAAGTATGAGGACCGATTAAGATTCATACAATTGCCAACACTAAAATAAAGACGAATAAGAGGTGATTTGATAACGATGTTCAACATGTTGAACGAAGCTTGCCGGAAATATTGAGAGTCACCAGACGATCTAGAGGGCATGAGATGAGGCTAACAGCACTGACATTCCATACGAACTTAAGAAAAAATTATTTTGTTAATAGAACTATTAATATTTGGAATAATTTGAATGATGATGCTGTTAATTGCAGTGATTTGAATGAGTATAAAAAAAAGTTGGATGATTTTCTTATAAATGCTAAATTTAAATACGATTGGAGAGCGGAGTTGAAGTATGAATATTCGTGAATGCTGTTTATAGATTTTTGATGATGGTATAAATGTTTGTTTTGACATGATTGTCTATAAGAGAGAATAATATATATGATTGGTTGAAATTGGAATTTTTATGAAGAAATGTTTACATACATATATTTACAATATAGGTAGTTGAATTAATAATAGAAATTTTTATCTTATATTTTTGTTTATATTTTTATTTTCGTTTGATCTTTATGTATGAACAGAACGTATTAATATATATTCATGTACATTATTTATGTGTTTAAATTTTAAAGTTAATTTTCTGTCGCGGGTATAGGGACATTTTGTCTTTCCCTTGTTTTTTTCATAATAATAATAATTTCTTTATTTTTTCATAAACTTTCTCCAATTAATTTAATGATTTTTAGATGCAATCTGTGAAGGTAAAATTCTATTCGTTTTGTTACTGGCATTGTTTTATCATTCGCATTTTTTTTCCTTATTTTATTAACTCAAAGTTTTAAAATTTTGTATATTTATTTATTTTATATTAACTTACTTTCATTTGTATTTTTTTTTAAATTTTTATATAACTTATCCTTTTTTGGTTTTTATTTAATTTTGTCCCTTCTGAGTAATGATAATTTACAATAGATGCATCGATTCATGTTTAAATAAACTTTTCAAAACAATTTTTTAGAAGAGTTGACGTTTAGCGAGATGGCGGAACGTTTCCTCATTGCCTGATTTTTTTGTCTTACTAAAACTTGGCACGGGAACTCTAACTCTCTCATTTTTATAATTGCGACTAAATATATATTTTAAACGTAATTTTCTCTAAAAAAATAAAATCTTAAAAAATTTACTCAATCATTAAACATAATTAAACGAAACAAACCAAAGAACTGTCAGCATTAAATGATTTATCCAAATAAAAATGAGTATTGGTTAAAAATTCATGTCATATAAATTAATTCGTTTATTAAACCATTGGTAAAACGAAGGACGAACTCATAATAATAAGAAACTAATCCCTCTTCAAAAGGTTATTTATCAAGTAATCCAATCAATTTTATGATTTGTAAGAAACAATTTGTGAATGAAAATTTCTATTCATTTTGCTATCGTTATTCTGAACAAAAACACTTGAAGCGTAATTTTCTTTTCAAAAATAAAAAAAAAACAAAAAATTTACTCGATCATTAAACACTATTAAATGAAACAAACCCAAGTAATGTCAATATTAAAAAAATTTATCCAAATAAAAAGATGAGTATTTTTAATAAGTAACAATGTATGAAAATGTCAACTAAATAAAATGTAATTTAAATTTAGGCATTGATGGCGGGATTTCAGCTATGACATTTTTTCACTTCACGGAGAGAGTTTCTGTATTTTAGCAGGCTGCATGTCGTTTTCCGTGGATTTGTTATGATTGTGACTTCGTTTTTGTCCTTTGGATCGGTGGTTGTCATCATTATTTATCTGTGTTAAATTTTCTGGATTTTGCTGATTTCTTTGTAAGCTCGTCTCGTTTGGTTTTGCAATGCGTTTTATATTGAGGTCGTATCTTTTAGTGTCGATAAGTTCGTACAGTTGTTCTTTGCTGACTGGATGTGAGATGGACTCGCAAACAGCTTTCACTGTTTCGTAATTGTTGGGAAATGACTTGTCAGTTCTCTGCCTTATGAACACCCATCCATTTTCCCATTTGCATTCAATAATCTTTTGATCGAGATTTCTCATAGCTTTTGTCATCTTAGAAGAAAGAATTGCAAAAGGCCGATTCAGTCCGCTGGCATAGAGATCTCCAATGAAATTGGGAAGCATACCTTCTTTTATTTCTGTTCTCAGAGAAAGTTTAAAATCAACTGAATTAACTTGAGGTGGTTTCCATCTCAAGATCTCTTTGCATTGGCCCATTTTGTAGCCCATATCAACTGGCTGGAAAATGAGTCCATCTACTTCGTGGCACACCTTTGTTGCAAAATTTCCATCAAGTAAGCTCTTAGAATAAGTTATATTCCAAAATGGTTTAGCTCTGACGCTAAATGGTTCCGCGGATTTATTAACCTTGCATTTATTTCTTGGTTCAATGATATCCTTCAGTATGCACATCAGTCTCTTGTCGAAGTTCCAACGGCCCACATTGTTTCCATCTATTCGAATAATATCGTGAATGAGGTATCTTGGTATCGTCTTATCACAAATGTGATCAAAAACCATTTCCCCGTCTAATAAAGTGTCAATCAGATTGGC